CTCTCCTCTCTCTCTCTCTCTGCTCTCATCTTTCTCTGCTTCGCGTGTAAGCGTCGCGATGGGTTGAGGTGTGTGTGTGTGCGCACGTGTCTGTGCCTGTCATGTTGACGTGACCTGTGTGTTGTGGTGTGGTGTGTTGTGTGGTTGATGTGTGGTGTGGTTGTGTCGTGTGCTCGTTGCTGTGTGCGTGTGTGTGCGGTGTGTGCCCACTGTGTGTGTGGGTGTGCTGTGTATATGTATGTGATGTGTGTGTGCGTGTGCTACGATGGTTGTGTTGTGTGTGGTGGTTGTCTGTGGTGTGTGTGGTGGTGTGTGTGTGTGTGTGGCCACATGGCCTGTGTGTCGTGTGTGCGCTCGGTGTGTGGGTGTTGTGTATATGACACAACATCGTGTGCTGTGTGTGTGTGTGTGTGTGTGTGTGCTTGTGGTGTCTTGTGTTGTGTGTGTGTGGCCCCGGTTGTGTATGTGTTGTGTGTGCTCTGTTGTGTGTGTGACGTGTGTGTGATGTGTGTTGTTTGTGTATGTGTGTGCAATATTGCCATTATATCTAAGTATTAATAATATATATTATATTATAATAATACAGCGTTGATACTGAACAAGATATAACGCGATATTACTTGCCCTCAAAAGAACATAAATCGCAATAAATAACAAACCTTCGTTTGTCTAAAGTCAGGTTATACTATACTATTGTATTTTATATAATAGCCTATTATATATATATATATATATAATTATATATATATAATATACATAATTATTAACAAGAGCTAATAATACTATAATATATAACTAATTAAAAGTGTTTATTTAGCTCTTGATTTAATGATAGAACGTATTTCCACAGGGTTTTAGTTCCTTTTGTTTTTTATTTTTTTTTTTGTCTTTCACTACATTTTTTATTTTTTTTTTTCTTTTGTTTGTTTTATTTTTTCCTTTTTCTTGTGTTTTTTTTTTTTTTTTTTTTATTTCTTTTTTTCTTTTCTCTCTTTTTTTTGTTTTTTTTTTTTTTTCTGTTTATTTAGTTTTGCTTCTTTTTTTTTTTTTCTTTTTTTTTATACTTTTATTTTTTTTTTTTTCCTTTTCGTATTCTTGTTCTTTTTTTTTTTTTGTTATGTCCTTTTTTGTTTTTTTTTACTTTTGTTTTTATAGTTCTTTTTATTTTTAGAAAAAAACAAGAAGAAGCCAAATAGATAACCCCCCCATAATCATCTCTATCGTATTTCTATCTATCTCCCGCGCACATCAGCGCGTGGCTGGCGATGGGGCGATGACGATGGGCGACGTTGCGATCGATTCGGCCGGTGAGCTATGGCCGTTAACGGCAAGGCGCTGGCCAGCGTCTTATGACTGGACGTCGAGCTGGACGATTTCATTGAGCTCCTAATGATTCGTTAGTGACTGTAAAAACTGGTTGGGCTTCTGCGTCTCGTGTACTGGCAAATCGTCTCTTGACTGTCACCGAACAATTATTTTATGTCGCCGATCATCAGCGCCTGCCCTGCTTGTTGCTACTGATGTTGTTGCGGCCTGTATGCGCACATGAGGTTGCTGATGGGGTCAGGTTCCGCGCTGAGGTGCGCGGTGTGCAAGCGGACAGGCGCACGCATGAGCATAGCAGCACGCATATATATTGATGTATATATATATATATAGGTATATATATATCAAAATAAATTATATATATATATATATATATATATATTAGTATATATATACTATATATTAATATGGAGAGATGAGAGGAGAGGACGAGACGAGAGAGAAAAAGAGAACGAATAAAGAGGATAAGGATATAAAATTCCTGCTGGGCTATTATAGTATAAAGATTTAGAACATGAATAAAGATTGAATTCACTGATGCAATTATCTTTGAATGACTCCATTGTACGTGCAATGTGTTGGAGACTGGATGATCGAAAATTCAATTCGTCTGCATAACTTAACATCAGTTAGCTAAATCTTTTTTGCGTTTGTTATAATATTATATATATATGTATATATATATATATATAATATATATATAATATTATATATATATATATATAAATATATATGTGTTGTGTGTGCGTGTGTGCGTGCGTGCGTGTGTGTATGCGTGCGCGTGCGTGCGTGTAGAGAGAATAGAGAACGATTGAAAGAAAAATAGAGACTGAGCGGGAGAGAGATAGAGAGACAAACAGACAGACAGACAGAGAGGGAGAGAGGGAACGAGAGAAAGGACAGAATAACTACAGCTGCATGCGACAGGCAGAGGCAAACTCTGCGCTCTCTCTCTCTCTCTCTCTCTCTCTCTCTCTCTCTCTCTCACTGGAAGAGGTAGTCAGAGCGAGCTGGGCGCGGGAAGGGTAATGAGACACCGGTTTAATGGCGCTCGCTCGGCGAATCTCCAAACTTACAAACACGCAGCCTAAATCGCTAGACACACAAACGGCCGCTGGGGTGTTTATTATGTTTACCGTGGCGCGCTGCGGACTCGGAAAATAAACGCGCGGGTCGTCGATAGCGCTTGTTAGTAGGGTTCACAACACGCATCGTCATGCCCTCCCTGCCTGCCTGCGTGGTCGCAGCAGACCCGCGCTGCGAGCAACATAAACTGTTTACGTGCAGGAGGGCTTTAGGCGGTAACGGCGGGCGCGTAACAGAGATTAGCTCACTTACGATGGACTTAGTGGCGCCCTAACTCCGCGTAGTTATATATGCACGGACGTACATGCGCGCGCACACACGCACGCACGCACGCACTCGGACGTAGATGAAACCAGGAATACCATCGTGGTATGCTCCCCGAATCGTAGCGTTTAGTTCGCAAAGAAATGTTGAGAAGAGAACCGATAAAACATGGCCAGTAGATGCAGGAGATTGGTAGGATGTAGCATTGGAAACGATGTGGGAGACAGACAGGAAGGGTGGGTGGGTGAGGTAGAGGGTAGAGTTTGTGATCGAGGGAGCAGGCAATAGGGCAATGAATAAACAAAAGAAACGTGAAAGGAAGAGGATAGCGTGAGATGGATGGAAAATGGATGGAGTAGGAAAAGTTTTGGCGCGCGGATGAGAAGGGGTTAAAGTACGAGCTAGGCCTAACCGAGGACAACGTGTTTATAAACAGATGGTCACTCTGGCTCTCCACAGCCGAGCAGTGATCGTAAATAACTCGACGGAGCAGTAACACCATTCCCAGGCGTAACGACAGGTCAACCTACACGTCCCGAGGGACATTTTCAGTTCCAACACTACCCCGACCACCCACCACCCACACCCTGCTTCCCACCCTCATCTGCACCATCCACTCACCGACTGATACCAGCATCACCCACCACCCACATACCACCACCCACCACCCACCACCCACATACCACCACCCACCACCCACATACCACCACCCACCACCCACATACCACCACCCACCACCCACATACTACCACCCACATCCATTCACCTACCTTCGCCCATCACCACCCAAGCATTACTCACCACAACCACATACACGCATCCGCCCACATACCCCCAGCACCACCCGAGCATTTACCACCCCAACAACACCTTGTGGTTAGTGGGGCCCATCCACCGACCGGCCTGGTCCGAACCAATGCATCGACTTGTACCCGGTAAACTGACATCACCACCCAACCACCGACCGACCATCTTGGCCACCGCCCTACACTACCAGCCATCCACCGACACTATAACATCCACCCACGCCACCACCCACCGACCCATCCGCCCTACATTAACACCCACCCTCCGACCGACCCATCCACCGTCTGACCCTAACACCCACGACGATACTTTACCACCCACCCCCCGACCTATCCATCCACCACTCTACACTCCCACCCACCATGATACCCTTCCTCCCACCCACCGATCCTCCCTTCCACGCCCCCACCGACCTATCCATCTACCACCCCACACTCCCAGCGGCCATCCTACCCTTCCTCCCACCCACCGATCCTCCCTTCCACACCCCCAGCGATCGATCCTTCCACCACCCTACACTCCCACCCATCATCCTACTCTTCCTCCCACCCACCGATCCTCCCTCCCACGCCCCCACCGACCTATCCATCTACCACCCCACACTCCCACCCACCATGATACCCTTCCTCCCACCCACCGATCCTCCCTCTCACGCCCCGACCCTCCCTCTCACGCGCCCACCGACCGATCCTTCCACCACCCATCATCCTACTCTTCCTCCCAACCACCGATCCTCCCTCTCACGCCCCCACCGACCGATCCTTCCGCCACGCTATAGTCTCTGCAGACTGTACTCGCTGCGTTCACGCGGCTGCAGCGCTATCTAGCCGAAATGAAGTTAGCGGGAGTTGGCGACTGGCGATCGCCGAGGCTGCGGGATTAAATATTTACCCCCGCCTGACAGCAGCGTGATGAATGACTTTCATTTCATGTCTGCAACTTTTTCGCCATTAGCGGCCTTAATTGCACAAACACGGCGGAGGGAGAGCGGCACCGGGCCAGCTGCGGAGGTCACACGGCAGCAACAAGTGGATGGGCGATAGAAGGCGGGCGGAGCATCACCGGATCTTCACCCCGTTACTGTCACTCCTTGTCCCGACCCTGGGGGGAGGTGCCGACGTCCTGCCTCCAGGTATGTAGGCTACGACGACTGTCTGCATGTGATATAGTTCAGATGCAGCCCGTCTATCCTACCTACACACGGTGTGCTGATTGAGCAACCACGGTTCAACTCAAATCTCTCCTCCTCTCTTCCTCCATTTTCTCTCTCTATCTCTCTCTTGCTATGTGCCTGCCTCTTTATCTCTCTCCCCGCACTCTCTCGCGCTGTCTCTCAACCCCTCTCCCTCGCTTCCACCCTAATTCTCACTCCCTCCATCTCTCTCGCTCCCAACCTCATCCTCACTCCCCTCCCCACCTCTCTCCGTATGTTCACACGCCTGGCAGGTCACCTCTTAATAGATAAGCCTTTGAGAAAACGTGAGAACATTCTGATCGGCAATGAAACCATAACTCACCAGTTATTAACCTGTAGAATAGTGAGTCCTGTATCTGATGCCAACTGCTTCTTTTGATCTTCCGACGGGTACGGGTGCTGCAATGGAGGGACAAAACAACATTACACGTATGTTAATTACCCAACGGTGTCACGCGAACGCAGGCTACTGAGATATGACGAATCATCATATGACGACTACATCACGTGAGAAGCATAAAAACGCACGGACGAAAAAATGCCAATGTTATCAACTCGAATTACTTTAATGATTACACTTGGCGAAGATTCTTCTCGACAGGGATAACATATCATATATGTCTTCATATAACGGCTATCACCAAAAGAAGATGTAACTAAGAAACTAACGCCAAGGCAGTTTGAAAGCCTCTTCACCCGAATTCACATAATCTAATCAAAATTGTAATTTCAGCATCAAAATGGCACACTAGCTACTCCTATGCCATGCGTGCGAAACTCACATCAAACACGTATCAAAATCATTCAAAATATCAAACGTATCAATATCAAAGTATGTATTCTCAAAAATTAAATCAGCGACTCGAACCGCCGCCGCAACAAACACAACAACAACAACAACAACAACAACAACAACAACAACAACAACAACAACAACAACAACAACAACAACAACAACAACAACAACAACAACAGCAACAACAACAACAACAACAGCAACAACAACAACAACAACAGTAGCAGCAGTAGCAGCAACAACGACAACAACAACAACAACAACATCGACAACAGAAACAGCAACAACAACAATTAATTCATCACAGCGTAATGAACAATCAAGTGTGTGCTGCTATCGCGCGAACAAATTAGCATCCTCCTTTCGGAGGGGAAAACGAGCGCGGCTTTACTGTTCACGTGCTTGCGTGCGTGCGTGCGTGCGTGCGTGCGTGCGTGCGTGCGTGCCTTGTCGCTCCCATTAAGCCTAAGGGCTCCATCAGCGTGACGTCGGGCCTCACTCTCTCATTTAGAAAACGTAATTTGAAGAGGTCGGAGACTCCGCGGACAGCTCTTGCCGGCTCGCCGCCTGTCTCCCGAGACGCGCTGTCATTTAGCCACGCCGCGATGCCAGTGCGAGCGAGAGAGAGAGAAGGGAGGAGAGATGCGGGGAGAGGAGGGGAGAGGAGGGGAGAGGAAACGCAACGGAGATAGAGAAAGGAGCGGGAAAGGGGGGAGATAAAGATAGATAGAGAGTGAAGGGGAGGGAGCAAGAATGGGAAGAGAGAGAGAGATAGAGAGAGAGAAAGGGGGAGAGGTGGAGAGAGAAGGCAGAGAGAGTGATGGGGCGAGGGAGAGAGGGGACAGTTATAGATAAATAGATAGATAGATAGATAGATAGATAGATAGATAGATAGATAGATCGACAGACAGACAGACAGACAGACAGACAGACAGACAGATAGATGTCAATATTCTTATATAAGCATCTCCGGCGGTCTAATTATTAATCGTCTATCTTTATCTTCATCACTTCCTCTTATTATTTCTATCGCTGTCTCTCTCTCTTTCTCTCGCTCTCGTTCACTCTCGCTTTCGGCCTTTCCCGCTTGCTTTCCCTTTTTTCCCAGCAACTTCCGTATTGGTCCATAAAAGGTGGGTCGCTGAAACCACCGGAGCCTCGTGGAGGCGGTGCATGTACACGATGAGACCATATAACGTGTGTGTTAGTTAGCCGGCGTTTTTTATGCGATGCGAATCATTGCGATTAGTGAGTCGTCGGCTGCCATAAAGTATCGCTTATTGCGTCGACGCGCGCGCCGCGTGGCGACCGCAGACTTTATTACATATACCGGCACGTGCGCGAAGGCAATGAGACGACCGTAACGCGGTGGTGACAACAAACGCGCCGGCTCTCTCCCCGTACGACACTTTGCGGTGGTAATTGAAACCCTTGCCCCCCGTGCGTGGCGCGGCGAGCTCGGGATGCGACCGCGGGAGGCTGCGCGGGCTTTATGGCTTCGCATGTCATCGCTGGGGAGCTGTTACGGCATCATAAAGCCGACAGCAGCGCCAATCTGCATGTCCTCGCCCGATGTCATAATTGGCGGCCGTAAAAGCATCAACAATCGACAACACGATCATCAAAACGCTATTAAACATGCCGCGCCCGGGGAAGGAGTGCTTATCCACGGTGGAATCTGACAGAAATGCTAATTGAACCGAGCCAAACGCATCGTCTTTCTTCCCTTGTGTGTGTGTCTTTCTCTCTCGTACTTCCCTCTCACTCTGTCTCTCTCTCTCTCTCACTTGCTCTCTCCCTCCTCTCTTTCTGAATGTCTCTCTTCCTTTATGTCTCACATACCCCTCTCTCGTTCACCCGCCTTCTTCTCGCTGAGCAGAACTCGACTGTCAGTGTTCTAATCTCGTGTTTTTCGACATGAATTATCGTGTCTCCTTGCCATTTGCCATGTCTTAATGTCCCACTACTGCGTGAGAGAGAGAGAGAGAGAGAGAGAGAGAGAGAGAGAGAGAGAGAGAGAGAGAGAGAGAGAGAGAGAGAGAGAGAGAGAGAGAGAGAGAGAGAGAGAGAGAGAG